TTGGAATGAACTTGTTATGTTTTTAAATTTTGTTAAGGAAAAATTTGTGTTTTTAATAAAAAATGATTAGTATGCGAGTATTTTTGTGCTTGGGTATATGATGATATCAAAAAGCAATCGGGAGTGAAGCAATTATTTGTTCTTGCGGTATATAAATTATATTATTTGGTATTTTTATTTGCTGAAGAATTGTGTCAATTTCTGGAGTATATCGTCAAAAAAAGACGTATAATTCGTGTTTATTGTCGTTAGGGTGTTTTGCTAGTATACTAATATGATCTTTTTCAGTGTTAGTGATATACCATATGATGTTAGAGACTTTATTTCCTAATTTGAGTTTTAAATTTATTGTACTGACGTCAATTTTAAAATGTGTTGACATTAATTTTTACGATGCTTGTTTTCTTTTTCTTAAGCTAAGTTGTACTATTGGATTAGTATGTCTTTGAGTAATGAAAACCTCCTAAGAATTATTGAATATTAAGAAAGGTTATTAATAATGAAATAAGAAAATAAAAAAAATTTTGGAAAAAAAATTTCTAAAATTTTTTCGAAGTTTTTCAAGTTTTTATTCGCTGAAACGTTAACTGAAACCTGAAACTTTCTTCAAGATAAGTTTAATTGATGCTTTTGGTATGGTTAACAATATAACTATATGCCTTTTTGGGCTATTATTGGCTCAAAACTTATTTTTTTTGTTAAAGTTTTTACAAAAATTTTTGACTGAAACAATAATCTGAAACCTGAAACTATGGTAGCTGAAATTGAGTTTTTTTTTAATCTTAAAATTGTCTAGAAGCTTTAGTATACCTAGTTTATGCTTTATCTTGCAAAAAAAATCGAGAAAACCGAATCTTTTAATATCTTAAACTTAGTTTTTGAAATCTCAAACTTAAACTCTTATAAACTCTCTCAAACTCGATGCATGAAAATAAAAAGTTGGTTTTTGATAGCTGGTCTAGTGTAAATTAGAATTTGGAACAGGTTTACAACTTCAAAATCAAAAATTTGTTTGCGGAAACCGAAGTTTTTGGGGCTGAAACTATGATTTCTAGAACTGAAACTATGGTTTGACCACTTGGTTTTAGAGTTTTGAGATTGAAAATTTAGGTTGGTCTCTCTAATATATTTCTTTTCCAGCAATAAAATTGCCAAAAAGATGGAAATTTTAGCCTAAAACGACGATTTTAGTTTTCTGAAACTATAAGTTTGAGGGCTCAAACTAACACCTTCCAGAAGTTTTTTGAGTTTAAAAATTGGTTAGTGCATTAAGGATTCCTTTTATCTTTCAATATTTCACAAAATATTCACTTGGGAAGCAAGATTTTTGGGTCTGAAACCAAAAACACTAATTCTGAAACGTACGTTTCAGCCTTAGGAACCAAATTTTAAAATTGGTTTGGTGGGTTTTAACACCGTTAGTTTTCTCTAGAAAGTCAAAATTCGGCGTTCCGAGCTCAATTTTGAGACCAAAAACTCAATTTTTGTGTTCTGAAACCTGAAACTAACAAAAACTTACCATTTAAGACCAGGTTTTTGACTTATGGTATCCAAATTTGGGTTTGACTAGTTCAACTTTTGCTGTTTTACCCGAATCCGTTTACAGAAACTTAAAATTTTGACCGGAAACGTTTGACCCTATAACTGAAACCTAGACTGAAACCAAAAATTTTGGCTGGTAAAAATCAATTTTTTTTTGCTTAGGCTATCATATGAAAATTAGTTTATCAATATAAAGTGGATGTGTCAGTGTTTTAGACTTAGTTTTTGTTGTGAAACCTGATATTTATGTGCTGAAACTAAAACTTGGTGTTTGGTGTTATGTGGTTAAGGTTTAAGATTGGTTTTAGTGTGTATTCTTATTGTTTGTTAGGTGTATATTTAAACTGTGTCATAAAAAACCATTGCTTTATAAAAAAAACACCCAAATCCGTTCCTTCCTTCGTGGTTTTTGTTGTTTTCTTCCTTAGTTTCAGTAATTGGTAGCTTTACTGATGGATGATTTAGGTTTAAACTATGTTAAGGTGGATAGAATTAAAATTAGTTTAAGAAAAAATGAGGATAAGCCTCGAGAAATGATGAAGGATTAGAATAAATAGCAACAAGCGTGGATGGTTTGAGATAATGTGACGAAGAATTCAATTTATCATACAATTTAGGGTACTCTTAGATCGCACATATGACCACTTAACCCCCTCGAAAAAATAAATGAAGATATTTAATAACTTTTTGAGCACTTTAGTTTAATACAGAATTTCGTTAATTTTAGTGATGATAACTTTAAACTGAAGTATCGGCATAAATTTAGTGGATTACTGGACAAAACGTCTATATCTTACTAGTGGACTTAGGCAGAAAACAATTCTTTCAGAAATTTTATATATTATTATAATAATAGATATTAGTTAAGGACATGAGCTAATGTCAGTTAGAAAGCCGTATAATAGACCTCGAGGTGGAGGAATATCGTGGGCGACTGCTAGCGCAGGGGATACTTATCGCAAGAACCCTACTAGGAATATCTGTCAAGTAGAAGACAATGAAATTGTGTTTCTATCGAAAGATACCCATTGTCTCTGGCTTTTTGAGGTTGGAAACTAATCTGACAAATACTCACAGATCCTAATATTAACAATTTTTTTTGAATTTTAAAAGCTGTTTCGAGTTTGTTGGAAAAGGAATTTCTTAAGGAGTAGTTATCTGCTGCTGTCGCACCAGTTTTACTAAGCGTTCATCGCTGGTTGAATGCTTATTAATTTTATCCTAAGTTATAAGTCTCACCTTAAATCGTCAAATTGTCTTGTAGAGTAGAAACAATAGTTAGAAAAGGTATGAATTAATTCGTTGGTTTAATACAAAGCACTGGGTAATTCGATTATATAAGCGAATCGAACAGCTTAAAGAAATATACCTATGAGGGGAGGTTTAGTTAATCTTATTTTGTTCATCAATATTTTATCTTCTTACTAAGGTCGATGACTGAGTAGTATTTCTTGGGTTGCCCTTGATTTTGTCCACTTCGGCACTTCTGGTTTGGTTGTCAGTATCGTCTTGCCGTAGTCCTTTGGGTATTTGTAGTCCAGACTTCCTCAGGTGTGGTTATCTCGAGTATTTCGATTTATAATTTTATCGATCTTAAATTGAGAATTTATTCTCTATTTTATTTGTGAAAAAAGACTAGTTTAATTTTACTGTAAAAGTAGAAAAGAAAAATTATTTATTTTTTGAAAAGGTCTAACTGAAAATATCTAACTTGCTGCTTACTGAGCAAAATGAAACACTGAAGATTTCCGGCCAGTCCTTTTGCTCGTAAGCATAAACCGGCGGCTGATTCAATCTTTAATTATTCAGGTTTCACCTGCTCCTTTGTTCTCCCTTTTTTATAGGGAATTTTCAACTAGTTTTTATTTGATTTTGTCAAATCAAATATCTTTAACTTATTAGTCCCTTTTGATAAAAACCGCAGCCTTCAGTTTGTCTGATTAAAAATTCATATTACTCTCTCTGATGCATCATATTGCAGGTGCATCTCTGCTTAATCAAAGCAAGGAGAATTTCAGTGCAGCCGGCAAGACTGCTAAATATTTATCCAGTTTGTTTCAAGTTAAGTTAAAAGGGACGTTTTAATAATCGCCACCCTTTTAAAATATTGAGCATGAAAAAATGAGAAAAATTGGACAAGTATTTAAAAAGGAGTGGATTTTCAAAACAAGATTTTATAGTCCTAATAAGAGTAAATCAGTCAGTATCTGATTTAGTGAAAAGAGGCTTTAATTTAGAATTGGGTCGTTAAACAAACAACTAAGACAATGGTCCTTTGTCTGTGTAGTATTTCTCAATACTACATTTTTGTCTTAAAATTTCCTGCAGATAAAGATGACTTAAATCAAAGTTTTTAGATCAAATTCGCAACCTTCCACCCGTCCCCCATACATGCTAAGAAAAGATCTTCCACACCAGCGTTCAGTACAAATGAAATCTACTAATCGCTGCGTATAAAATTCTTCATTCTGATCGGCTGAAAGTTTGAATTCAGAACTAAGTTAATGTCATTCCGCGATCACCCCTAAACGGCTTTGGGTTGGGGAAGAGGATGCTAACTTGGCCAACAATTTCATAGTTTTTTGGAACGGCTCTGCTTGCGCGTTTCTTGTTCCCTTGGTTGTAAAATCCGACAATAACAGCTACTACTTCTCAATTTCAACGCATATTCCAATTTTTAAAACTTTGATTGTCTTGATGGTACAAATTTGGCCGAATGCATTTTATGTAATGGAACCATTATACGAAATGAACGCTCATACAGCCTTCTCTGTTTGATCGGTCAAAAAAATTAACGGTATCAACGGCCTTCCGCATCAAAAGCCTGAAGTTTTTGGCTCAAAATTACGTATAAACTTCGCTACAGTTTTGTTTGAACTAAGTTTTTTGATTTAAGAAGGCCCAAAAAATTGTTCAAAGTGTTTTTAACTTGGGAACTTGGCAATTTTTTTGGTGTCCCCGTTTTGGTTGTTTGATGTTGCATTGTTGGTAGAAAAAAAAGAGCTCTTTAATTTTTTTTTTGCGTTCAAACTATTCGCCTTTATTTTGACAATTTTGGTTAGTTTTTGTGCAACTGGACTAGATGAGATAAGAAACCCCCCTCCCCCTCCCCAGAGCAGTCTTGCTGAATTCGCTACCTCTTTATGCGCAAAAAAGACGTCTCCGCGTTATTAGTTCGGAACAAGAAACTTATTCGAAGGTTTTTTTGAGCAAGGACAATTTGGCTCAAGAATCAAACTATATTGGTAGCATTAATTTTCCGTTAACTTCATCAAAAAATTACATCAGTAAACATAAACAGATGCTTACTGATGAAGGTTTTTTCGAGAAAGCAAACGAAAAAATTCTGACTGCAGCTGAGCGGACTGTTTCTGTAGCCAAATTGTCGGTGCTCAAAATAAAACCCCTTGAATATATTTTTTTGTTTGATCTTTTAAAACTTTTAGTGGTTGGCTTACCTATGGTTGTGACGGTAGTGATGCAAAAGTAGATAGCTCCGGCTAGATCCCATGAAGTAATCAAGTCTCTGCTCTCTGGCTGTACGTCGAACTGGTCATAGCCAAACTGCTTCAATAAGGCGTCCATCTGAAACAAATAAAGACTCAAGCAACGCTCGTATTGGATGTTAAGGGTGATATATTACAATGGTGGGAGGTTCAAGTTAAATACTAGATCGCTTTTTTGTTATACTCCTGGGTTGACCTCCATTGATAAAAATGCAAATTATACAATTCCATAAACAAATTCTCTATGAAAAATTAGTAGTCATACAAATTTCATACATTTTGCTAAATTTTCAAAGAACGTTTTTTTGTTGTGGCATAAAAGCCGGTGTGCCGTTATAGATAAAAAAAAGAAAAACCTTAGGTCAAAAAAATCAAATCATACATTTTCCATATAAGGAAATTGTATGACTAGCAATTTTCTGATTGCAACAACAATTTTTTTTCTAGAAGTAGTTCATATTGTCCCAAAAAGAGTAAGACGAATTTTATCATTAAACGAAGCAAACATGTTCCAGAAATGTTTTGCAAGCAACATTTAATTTTTTTGTGTATATAACGAAATCCTGGATACACAAGAGTTCAATTTTTTCCGTTTCTTGGGATAACTTATTTCTTTTGAGTTGCATGTTTATGTATGCCTTGATCAAAGCCTTATGAATTAAAATTTCAATATTTAATTTAAAAAATCGACTTTGAAAATTTTTGTGAAAATTTAAAAAGTTGATACTTTCAGTATATCATTTGCGTAAGACATCTCTGTAACAATTCAGTTCTTTGCCAGTGCCTTCGAAATGCAAGACATTCAAACCTTCGGTTACTCTAATTTTGAGTGAAACAGAGATCTTTGTACGAACACAACCAAAAAAATTTGAGCAAAATTAAGGTCGAAACAAAAATTAGAATTTAGGGTTGAAACATAATTGTTGGTCCTAAATTTTCCCTAATTTACTAATCTAATTTTTCCTAATTTACTAATTTACTATTCTACTAGAAAATCACAGATCTTCTTTGCAGTTTTCTTTACTTATGGAACTGCATGAAAAATGTATGACTAGCATTTTGGTCAAACAGTGGTCCCAGGCTTCGAACACTGCTTACAACTTTGTGGTATTCCTATGCTATGGGTGTTAGTTAGTAATAAAACAGAAGAGTAATAAATTGTAATTTAACTCTTTGTGAAACTTGGTTTTTGTTTAGAGATCATGTTTATTTTTTCATATGTCTCTTCAGATAGCAAATGTCCAAATGACTATTGCGTTCGGCCTGCATGAATGGCCTTGAATAATAACAACAAAACATAACAGAAAATTAATACCACTTATTCTCCAAGGTTACTGTGGCAACAGTACTACACAGTACCACATTCCCCTGAGGACAACAAAATTTTATATAATACCTTATAAAATTTTATAATCAATATATTAGTTTGTATCTCAGTTTACTAAGTTGTTTAGTGTTTGACTTAGTTTCCTTTGTTATTTTTCTTTACTTCGGCTTTGTTTCTCGCAGCGTTCCACGACCCAGAAACGTCCAACGATGTAGCCCCAAATTTCCGTTTGAATAGGTGTCTCTCTAATAGGTTGAACGTGTTGTTTTCCAGCGTTGTTTCTTTGTTGTTGAGATTTAAATTCGCTAATCTCATTCTGTAGGCCTCTAGTGCTGCCAAATTTAGCTCCATGACGTCGTCTTCACCACTAATAAGTTTGACCGAATGGGATACTGGGCTACCATATCTCTTTGGCCCCTGGTTCTTCGTTTGCCTATTCTTCTTCTTTTGTCATTTACGCCCCGTGGGGGGCCTTGATTCCCAGTTTCCAGGACATGTGCTCCAGTGTCTTGAAATGTTGTTTTTTGTCACCCAAGTACCGCATTCTTCGCATTGGATTCTGGCTCTCGTTCCGGCGAATCGTCCTGTGATAATGGTGTTGGTTACTTCTGGGGCTGTCGGGTGTTCTCCTCGACAGGTCCTCCGGTGTCTTGCCATGTTGCTCAACGACAGGGACCTCTGACACTTCGGACAGAACCCACCCTGCCCTCCTTGGCACGCCTTGAAGTGGTTTGTCAGAGCAGCCTGGTCCGAAAAACTGTCGTTGCACTTTGGACACTTGAAGTCCACTGACTCCCTTCTGTGTGCTTTTCTCTCGTGATTCGTCCGTCCTCCTTTTGTTGCGCACATCTTGTCGCATCCGTCCCAGCGGCAAGGCCAACCGCTGTCACTTATTCTCTCTCTATTCCATTGTGAGCGGGCCGGTTTTTCCGTTCCTCTGTGCCAGTTGCACATTTGCGTCTCCCAGTTTTTGAGGAACGTCCTGCGATCTGTAACGGTCTTCTTCCATCGTTTCCGGTCATTGGTGAGGTTCTCGCTGTTGTCGTCTTCATGTCCCGCTTCTTTCAGCAGTCTGCGCCAGTACTGGATGGTGTTGCCTCGCGAGTTCCCACTGCGTGTCCTCTCCATGTCCCAGGATCCGAGCACGGCTTTCTTCACAATCCTCTCATCCGACATTCTGAGAACGTGGCCCATTCGCTCTAATGCTCTGCACTCGATCTTAGTCCTTATCGATTCAATGTTCAACTGTCTGCGGATCTCGTAGCTGTTGACTCCTTCATTCTGCATCCTTATCAGTGTGTGAGGTTTTCCATTGTTCCACACAAACCTGTAGGCTCTGTCTGCAACGCTCTGGAACTTCTGGATGTCGGTCGGTGTCCATGCTCTAACGCTACAGTCAAACAGGAGAGTGGACTCCACTACGGCTTGGACCACCAATGCTCTGGTGCGCTTGGAGAGGCTCGAATTCCAGAGCCATTGTTTCACCTTGCTCCACGCGTGGTACCCTCTCTTGATCCTGGCTCCTCGGTCTTCTCGTTTCCCGATGAGCGTTCCCAGCATTCTAGTCTTCTGGGCGCTGGTAGTTGCAAAAGTGATGGACTCTTCTTTGCCGTCGTGGCATTTCTCTTCAAACTCCATCATTTTCTTCTTGATCACCTCTTTCCCTATGACGAGCTCTTCGGTCCAACCAAGTAGAGAGGTGTCGTCTGCGAACAACGAGTCCTCCAGGATGAAATTACACTTGTTGCTGCTATGCAATGCTCTGGGCCCTTCTCTCGGTGGGAGGCTGCCTCCTGGTGTCCACCTCCAGGTGAGACCGCACTCTTGACCTCTCTCCGCCGCCTCCTTTCTCCGTTCTCTTTCCGCTCTTCTTATTGCTTCGGCATGATATACGTTGAAAAGGATAGGTGATGTTGCGCACCCCTCTCTGAGTCCTCTGGCTGGGGCCCAATCATCGCTGAGACCTTCCTTTCCTTTCACCCGGTATCGCGTTTCTTCATGGAGACCTTTCAGCAGATCGAGCACCTTGTCCGTCATGCCAAATCTGGCTAACATACCCCACAGAAGGGGTTTGTTGGTGCGAGGGTAAGCCTTGGTGATGTCTAGGAGGACAGCCCCTGGCCGGTTCTCGTTACACTCGTCTGTCATCCCGTACACTCTTTTTGTTTCTTCTTCCATCCGGATAATGATCTGCGTTGAGTCAGCCGTAGACCTTCCACCGCGGAAACCGTTCTGGTTCTCGTCCAGAGCGCCAATGGTTTCTGCCCATGTCCGGAGTCTCGTCGCGAGGATACGTGCGATCAGTCTGCTCGCCAGTGGTAACAGGCACACTCCACGGTAGTTGCCCAGGTCGTTCTTGGGACCTTTCTTGTGCAGGGGAATGACCCAGCCTTCCTTTATTTCTTCTGGCCATTCCTCCGGTTTCATGTCTATCAACTGCCCAATCATCCTGTGGAGCTCCTGCTTAATTGGTTTGCTGGCCACCTTTACTGCTAGCATCCGAACTCCGTCGTTCCCTGGTGCTCCATCCCTTATCTTGGCCAACTTTGTTTCAAACTCGCTCCACGTGACCACTCTCTCCAGTTCAATGGCCGCTTCTAGTGCTGTCTGGTCGAAGCGTTCGGGGATCTCTTCCATGGTCCTAACGATCTCGTCTCGTCCCCTTTCGTATCTGTTCTCTGATACTTTCATAAAGTGACTTCGGAACTCTTCGGGGCTGAATGTTTCGTCTTCAAAGGTGCAGTTGTCTCTGATTCCAATACGCTTCAGCGTCTTGTACAGCGTCCCGATGTCACCTTGGAGTTCTGCCTTCCTCGCGTCTTCGACAATCTCCATCCACCACTCTTCTTCCCACCGTTTCTTCGCTTTTTTGTAGTCTTTCCTGACCGTCTTCCGTTCTTCTGTCGCTGTCGGGATGTTGTTGTTCATTTCCTGGGTAAGTCGAGTGATAAGGTTCTGAAAGTTGCCGATCTCTTCCAGGTGATTATCTAGCCACGGGCTCAAGTTCCGTTTCGCTTTGGAACCACAGGCTAGATTTCCCGCTTTCTCGAACAGTTTCATTGCGTCGTTCCAGTCTTCCACTGAATCCTCCGGGTTCTCGATTTTCTCTCGGAATTTCGCTGCCACTTCTGGGATCTTCAGCTTGTCCCAATCCACCGTCCGTCTGCGCTGGACCTTCGTCGAACCGTGGTGGCGCTTCTTCTTGTCTTCCAGATTGCAGGTCATCCTTTTCGCCCGGTGGTCGCTCAGTTTGTTCACTCCCAACGTGCTGACGTTGACGACTCTTCGGCTTCTCTCCTTCTGCTTAACCAGAAAGCCGTCTAGCTCGTGCCAGCTTCCGTTCGCCGGGTTTTTCCACGTTCCTCTGTTCTTGTGTTGGAAGAACGAGTTCACTCACGCTAACTGGTTGGCGTGGCACCACTCGATCAGGTCCACTCCTGCAGTATTCGTCTTGCCCAGCCCGAACTTCCCTGCGACTGTGTCTCTGCTCCGTTCTCTGGTGTCCCCCACGCTGGAGTTGAAGTCCCCGCCGATCACCAAGAGGTTCAGGGTTATCAACATATCTTCCAATTCCTCTCTGTATCTGGCGAAATCGTCCGTTTGTCCTTCCCACAGAGGTTGGTATGTGGCCACGAACCTCACTCCGCTCACATCCACTGCCGTGTTTCTGTCGCCACACTGTCTCTTGTATCCTTGTTCCTTCCAATCCACCGCCCACAGGTCTCTGAGGAACACTCCGCTCTTCTTTCCAT